GGCAGCCGCCGCCTGTGTGCCGGCGAGGCGCCGAGCCTTTCCTACCAAGAGCTGAAAGACTTGAAGAAGACCGACGTCCTCCACATAGACGTGCGGGAGAGGTGGGAGATCGACAGGTTTGGAAAAATCCCGGCGTCCATCAACATACCGCGTAAGTCGCTGACGCTGCTATGCGGAGACCTTGGGTGTTCCGTGTCGCTCGATGGTCAAGCCTGTGGACAAGGGGCGGTGACTGAGCAAAGCGCAGCAGCGCTGGACGGCTGCTGGTGTGTCGTGAGGCTAAGCTTTTCCTCCAGAGGAATTGGAAGCCGGACAGTGTAAGCTTGTCTGTGGATGGAGAATAAATGAGACCTTTTTTTTTTTTCCTTTTCTGTATTTCCCAGTGGGTGAGTTAGTGGAAGCTCTACAAATGGACCCAACGGAGTTCAAGAAGCAGTACAATCAACAGATGCCATCAAAGACAGACCCTGTGGTTTTCTCCTGCTTGGCAGGAAAAAGAAGTAAACAAGCACTCGGTTTTGCCATGTCCTTGGGTTTCAGCAGGTATGACTTGTGTGTGTAAGGATGGGATTAATGCGGCCTCCCACCATGAAGCAGAACTCGTACTCAGCTTCTTGTGGGCAAGGGTAAAAATTTAAATGTGGAATATGAACAAAATGAGTGGTATTTGAGTTAGACGCCTGCTCTAGTCTCCACTGAACCTTGAAAGACACCAGTGGGTGTTCCAGCAAGGTGAGGTATATTGCCCTGTAAAGCAGCCCCTCAGCAGCTCTGCGCATGTGCCACAGGTGACATGTCCTGCCATGATCATGCTGCCACTGAAGGGGCCTTCTGCCTCTCAAGGCTCTCTCGCCAAGATTGCTTCCTTGTACAGCTTCATAAATGCCAGTCCTGAGGCGCAGGATGATTGGAAAGGTGGAGAACTGCTCACTTTGGCAGAAGTACAATCTTAAATAGTTTATGAAACCACACCCGTTATTAAATTGCAGTTCTACCTGTACAGTTCACTGTTGACAAAGTACACCTTTGCTTTCAATAAAGCACTGGATTGTTTGCTAGGAGTAAAGCAGTGAAGGCAGTAGCTAAAAAGACAATGAAATTGATAGAGTGCAAGCAAAAGCAGCATTTGGTTGGCAGAATTGTTACACCCGTGCCAGAAGGTGCCTCGCTGGCTTGAAGACTGCAGATAGAATTTAAAAAATTGGTTGTTCACTCACATTTTCACTGAACTGCAATTCATGCCTGCTAATTCTAGTCAAAAGTACGGAAACACGTTTTATAAATATATTTTTTTAGTAAGTGCAAAATATCCTCCATTACCTGTTTTTCGTGCTGCCTAATTGAAGGAGTCAATATAGTTTTGCGTGGCATCAGGTTTTTGTCTTCCAGAGTTTAGTTTTGTGCAGGCTTACGTCAGATCTATAGAACACGTAGGCTTGCAAGGAAGTAACGATCAGTGTGCTGCGTTTATTTGATGACATCTGAAGTATTAGACATAACAAGATGTAAATCTCCCACTGCAGTGGAGTCTGTTCTCTCTTTTTAAAAAAAGAAGTGGCAAACTGTTTCATTGATCCGACTGCTACTACTTGCTTGATGTTTGATCTCCAGCATTGTCTCATTTGGAAGAGTTACAGAACATACTGCATGGCAGCAGGCAGTATTAGAGCACAAGAAACGTCGATCTGGCTCACTGAAGCTACGTACAGCTGTATTCAAGAAGAGTCCTTCTTAACGTTGTATCTTCTGCGTATTTTCAGAGTTCAGCAATACGCTGGTGGCTTTGAGGACTGGGTAAAACATGAACCTCCAGAGAAAAAATGAAGATGACTCTCCCAACCCTTGCCCCATCGACGCTTCAGGATGGTTTGTAGGTTTTAGCATTCAAACTATGTGCATTCCACTTCCACAACACAGCCCACTCCCGTTTTCTTGTGTAAATGGACATTCACCTTCAAACAGCCGTGCAGATCAACTGCTTGCTTTAAATTACATCTAAAGACTATGACGTGAACAGAAGATGTTAAATGTGTTCAACCTTTACTGTGGGCTATGTTTTTTTGGTGAAAGCACGTGAAGAGAACCTAAGTGCTTATTATGTTTACCAAGATTTTTGTATGAGCATTGATAGGACAAATAAAATCATGCTTGCCCAAATAACTGTGTTGGATAGTCTGTTTAAAACAGATAAACTGCAGATATTCTAATGGAATTGGGGTAACTGCCCTAAGCACAGATTTATTATACTTTATGTGTAGCTGGAGTTTTAAAATAGTTGCTGTGTTACCAAAGAGTACAAATTTTTAGATTTGTACTGTGATTGTAAGGCCAGAACTTCACTACTGGTCAGAAAATACAAAGGGAAACTGACCTGATGCTAGAATACTTGCTGTTGAAAATGTTCTCTGATGCCTTATTTTAAAAGTGTATCCATTTTTATATAGAGATCTGCTTCTGAGCACAAAACACCACAGCATTCAGTCAACAACTTCTGTTCCCTCAGCAGCTCAGAATCAAGTGAGAACTTGCCTATATTTGAAGTTGTTATTACAGAGATGAAATCATTTTAGGCTGGAAAATTTGAGGTGCCCAAGGAAGCTACTAAAATCCCTTCCTTCTTTTGTGTACATTAATTTGCGTGTCTTAAACTTTAAAAAACAAACCGACCCATCCCATCCCCACCTATAAATTAGCAGTCATAATCTTAAGGATTTTTTTGTTTGTTTTTTTAATGCTGTTAGCAGTTCAGGGGAACCAGCAGATGTGAATCGCTTTGACCTCTAGAAAATTTAAGTCCTAGCACAGAAGTTCAGGACTCTGCAAGGTGTCTGGAAAAAGGAATTAAAATTTCTGGTTCTGCTCTGATCAGTCATGCAGCCAATGTGCACTTACACATACCCTACAGCTCTTGCATTCTGCAGTGCAGCCTGCATGGTAAGAGGACCTAAAAAATAAAATATACCCTCTCACGTTTAGAGAACAGAGAAGAAGTAACTAATCCCACTAGGATTGAATTTCTAGTAAGTCCTGCAGTCTCTCTGCAGTCATTTGTTGCTAGAGGAGAATGCCTGTAGCTGGCACAGCCAGCTGTGTCAGCTGTGCTGCCCTGACCGTGTATCTTACAGGGGTTTCTGTTCTCTTGTCTTTGCTAATAATTATAGACACTGTAGTGTAGCTATCACAACCGTCAGTAATGAGTGCAGTTCTCTTCAAAGTATCATTGACTTTTTAGCACTCTTACTGCTATACTTTCATTTCCAATCCATTAAAAAAAACCCCAAACAACTTAAGATCCAGAATTTAGACTTAATTTCCAAAACAGTGGTTTAGTTTAACTGATGAATGAATGGGAGTAAGATAACATTAAAATGCCAGGATGAATATGGGTGTTACCTTGTTGTGGTCAATTACTCTGCAATTCTCACAACCTTGCTCTTGAAAGGTCTTTTTCAGACTGGATCGGGAGGACTAACAGATGCCAACAGTTTTGTCCAATTTAGCCAAATCCTATGATCTATTAATTTTGCCTGTTTAATGTGACCTAGACTGTCAGTTTCAGTGCTGTGGGCACACAGTCAAAGGGACAACTGAAGCCCACTGCTGGCTGCGTTGGGCAAGGTCTCACCAGGACTGATGATGCCTTTTAACCTAGATCGTTAAGGTCAGACTGTATAGAAAATTTGAGACATACTGAAAATGTTTAGCTAAATGTGTAATTAATCATGCCTAGCCATATCGAGCAAGGCACCAGACTTCAGGATGCAGATGAAGAAAGCAAGAAAATCTAATCAACTAAACTTAGTCACGATTTAGTCCTAAGTGGGCAATGCTTCCTTTTGTAGCTACCGTAAAGTTTGTTGGGAACACCTGAAACTGCATAGCCAAAAAAAATGAACAACAAAGAGTTATATAGGGTCACACCAAGATCTGCCTAGCACATTATTTTCTGTTCAGCAGCAACCAGTAATATACAACTGAGGAAGAGCATAAAACAGGACAAGTATGTAGTGATACAACCCCCAGATTATTCCCATTTACACCTCAGAGTGCTTTGATACCTCCTTCAGGCTTGGCATGTCTTGGTATATTTGGGTATTTGTGTTGAAAACTTACAAACTCCCAGCAGTCACAGCAAGCTGCACGGGGTTGAACAAGGCCTTGTGAGGGGAAGTCTTTCCCTTTGTTGCTTCTTAACCTGCCCTGTGTTGTTTTTATTGGATGCTCCTGCTGCTTCTGTCATGAACAGTTGTCACCTCATCAGTCTTCACACCACTTGTGATTTTTCTAGACCTCTGCTATCTTTGCTGAGCTGAAGAGTTGTGGATTTATTTTTTTCTAAGAGGAAAGCCGCTGTATACCTCTTTTTTTATTTTCATTAGATTTTATTAGTCTTGGCAGGTTTTTTGCAAGGTGTTTCTCAACTATTTGTAGCTTGTCAAAGTTTCGGATGCATTCTGTGTCTTCCTCTGTAACTTCCTTATGTGGATACAGCTTGCTTTTCAAATTATGCTTTTTGAGTTAAACAATTTGTCTGATCGAGTTCAGTTTGCTTCCTTTTAGATTTTTCCTTAAGTCTTTTTGGCATAGAGGGCCTGCGTTTGCTTTAACACTCTCCTGTCACCTCTAATCACATAAACTGTGAAAACTTTCAGCTACCTCTCTTTTAATGAAATATCTCATTTGTATGCATTTCTCTCCTTTGAAATGAAGCACAGTAAAGGTGATTTTTTTCTATCTGGTTGGTAGCAGCGCTGTTGAATTCACGTTATGTTCCATTTCCTGTTGTTCCAATTTACGCCTTCCTTTTTATAACTGTCATCACTGGATCTGGTTCCTTTGATGGCCTTTCACTGTTTACACTGGAATCAGAGCTGCAAAGAAATGCCTGGTATTTTACCTCTGAGGTTTAGGTCACATAGGTAATTTAGGTGTGAAGTAAAAGTCTGCAAAGGCTCTTGACCAGCAAGAAAACTTTTAATCGCTCCAGCCAGAATTCTTCATTAATGGGGTAAACCCCCTGATTTCAAAACATCAGCTTTCTTAGCAGATTATGTGGTGTATGTGAGAAGACTGATGGTTACCTAAAGAATAGTTCCCGTTTAAGAACTCCACACAGTGGTCAAGTTGCATTGATTTATTTCTACTCCCCAAGTCCACATTACAAATAGCACATTTTAGACTTCAAGAAACAAAGGCAAATGGCCAAATTCCACTTCATCAATCAAGTTTATATAAAAGGTATGGATCAAATGGCAACGGAAGTAGCAAAGACCAAAATGTATATGTTTTCTATCTCACCAAAGTGGTTTGGGCTTGTTTACCTAATGTTTTACGAAAATAACCTGAAGAGAAATAAATGCTGGTAGCCTAACGGGCTACATACAAACACATTTCAGTTGTATTTCACTGAATGACCAGCCAATTACAAAGGCAGGTATTTGCAAAACCAGGAGTTTTTTAAGGGGCCAGTCTTTTGAACCAAGACGCACCATAGAGCAAAGGTTGTCAAGAATTTCCCTCCCAATACCTCAGAGCAGTGAAATGTGTTGCTTCAGGAAACAAAAAAACGGAGAACATTGTTACTGCACTTTATCATTCAATTTTTATACTTGGGCAAAATTGGCATTATAATTCAAAATGAAGTTGTACGGAACTTAATTAGAAACAAAGTTATATAAAAATCAAGAAATTCAATTTAGGCCAATTCCTGACTTCAGTGGGATATCTGCCTGAGTAAGGAACACAGGATATGGCCTTCTGTTTGAAGGAATCTCATTTTCTCCAGCACATAGTTAACCAAGGAATCCCATTTCAGTTATTCTAAAGAGTTGCTCCTAACATCACAACTAAAATTAGCCAGTATGAAGCTCACCAAAAGCTTGATCCTCTTAAATAAACTCTCTAATGAACCACACAAATTCACACTAACAGTGAAGGCAGACTAACAGTGTATCTCTTTTGTACAAAAAAAATCCACCATAAAAAATAGCAATCACATCCAGATTTGTACTTGATTGTGAAATATTCCGATTGTACTATACAGTACATTTATTTGGAAAAAAAAAAAAATCATAGTATGTTGGGTTTTTTTAATTCCTAAAACTTGAAATGTTTAAGAAAACTGCAGAATCACTATACATATTGCACTTCTCTGATAAGCTGGGCTACTACGCTTCATGGCAAAAACATCCAGGTACATCTACTGAGTAAAACAGCATTTTTCTAATCCAAAAGAGGAACTGAATTTCTTTCCTGCAGCTTTCATTGAAACTGTAACAGTATTCCTTGCAGGCTCTTCTAGGATTTGTTTCTGAAGGACCGCTGTGTTACTTCTTACAGAATCCGTATTTACTTTTTAAAAAAATCAACAAAACTCAAGGTAATGAATAGATTTAACATACAGTGCACTATCTTCCTTCAGTCACAAACAAAATGAAGACAACACAAGTCATTAATACAGTTACACTTAGGCTTCAGGTTACTGTCGCTTCAAAAATAGTTCACTTCAATGGCAAGTTACAATTTTCTCAAAGCAAACAAAACCAACAATGACCTATTTGTTTTGAGTGGACAGTGTTAATCTTTTGCAGCACGGTTTAACGTTTGATTCCTTACACTGAAAAATCTTAGTACATTTGCTCCAGCGTCAGAGAAAATGATGCAGTTTTAGAGAGAAAGCTTTCAAAATGCTTGACACAAACAAGCTATTTATTCTTCAAGTTCTTTGCCAAAGATGTTACCAAAACCTTCTGTCCATTTCATGAACACAAGAAGGATCCCAGGATGTCTTGAGTCAAAGTGGTCCATAAAGAAATTCTTTGGAATGTCTTAAGATTGGCTATAACTAGAGTTCTGGCTACCATTTGGACCCTGTTCTCCTTCACTGTTTGGAAGAAAAAAAAAAAAAACAAAACAAAAAACCACACGTGTCTTCAAAAAGAAGCATCATGTTACATTTTTGTCTTTTTTTTAAATTAAAAAACATGGTATTCTGAAAGTAGTAGAAACCTTCTGAAGGTAAATACTTCAACATATACACAAATAGGTTAAGATATTCTGCTCAGTTTCATAAAAAATG